GAATTTCACGTTCTATTTTCGTATCCGTTGCTAGGCAACCCGATAAACACGTGCTCAAATATCATGCCCGCAAGTTGAGGTGTCATTTGAGGGCGCATTGTCCGTTACCCACTTGTCAATCTCAGGGCGCATACGGGCGCATTGGGCGTTAATGAGTTAAAGGTGAAAACGGCTATTTTTAGTTTAAAAACATTATCAATTTTAAGTATACCCAGTAGGTTGTAGTATGCTGAGGCATCTTCATAATTCCCTATAAAAAATATTTTCCTTCCTTATACATTTATTTTGGCACGATTTTAACTTTTTTAATTTTGTAGCATACGTATTACCCCAACTCATTAACCCATAATTAATATATGGAAAAATTAAACTATAGTAAACCTGCTTTAGCATATTCAGATCAGTACAGTACCTAAGTTTACTAATTATTCCCGTGTTTTTTACTATTTTATTGCAGACGTGACTAATTTGTTGATGCCAACTCAAATTTTGATCGATATAGATACCTAAGTATTTGATGTAACTTTTCGGTTCAAAATTTCCAATTTTTATGCGGCGTGTTTTTTTTTCTACAGGAAGTGATTTCCATGAAATTAGTTTTCTTAATATTTATTGATAGTTTATTCACATTGCAATATTGAAGTATGTTTTGTAATTCCTCATTCATTACTTTTTCAATATCATCAATGCTATTACTAGAATAAAATACATTGGTATCATCCGCAAATATTCAAAATGAGAGTTTTTTTGAACAGTTTGGCATATCATTTATATATAATATAAAATGTAGTGGCCCAAGTGTTGAACCTTGTGGTACTCCACAAGTCAATGTTAATAAATCTGATTCAGTATTTCCTATTTTAACATATTGTTGTCTATTAGATAAATAATCAGTAAACCATGCTAGAGGAGTTCCACATATTCCGTATTTGCATAGTTTATCAATTAAGATTTGATGATTCACAGTGTCAAATGCTTTGGATAAGTCTAAGAACAAGCCACAAGTTATTTCCCTGTTGTCAATTGCAGACTTGAAGTTTTCGGTTATTTCTAAAATTGCTTGCTCTGTTGAATATCCTTTCCGAAAGCCAAATTGATAATTGGAAATTATCTTTTTCTTAACAAGAAAAGAATTGAGTTGTTCATAAATCAGTCGTTCAAAGGCCTTTGCAAACGGTGATATTATGGATATAGGTCAATAGTTATTTGGATCAGTTTCTACACCGTTTTTAAAAATTGGTGTGACACGTGAAATTTTCAAAATGTTAGGGACAACACCCAAACTAATAGATTCATTATAAATACAACAAAAAATTGGGGCCAAAACATCGGCTACTGTCTTAACTATAAAATTAGGAATACTAATCGAAGCCTTACTTGTATCCAGTGATTGAAATAATATGTGTACCTGTGATACCGTAAGTGGAGACATACTAAAACTTGAAATTGGGGAGTTCTGTATATAGGAAACTGCATTCAAACTTGACGTTGGTAATTTATTTGCTAAATTAGGACCTACATTCACAAAGTGTTGATTAAATTGATTTGCTATATCATATTCATTTGTATAACTTACATCATTTCTAATTATATGGGTTTGTTTCAGATGTCTTTTATATTTACGCTTTATCAACGTGCCTATTATCTTCCATGTAGCTTAAATTTTAGGTTGTTTGTACATTTATCAAACTGATTATTATATCTAAGCTTACTTATTGATTTAATTCTATTTAATTTATTGGCATACCGTTTATATTGTGTGACCTTGCTCGTGTCATTACTATAGAAATGAGTGTGATACATTCGTTGCTTAACTTTGATTGATTTCAAGATGCCAATTGTAATCCATGGTTTGTTCAGTTGCTTTAGCTTACTCTGGGATACTTCCTTCATCGGAGCGTGTCTTTGTGTCGCTCGTTCAATATGGTTAATTATATTTTTTGTACTCTGATGAATATTATTATTTAAATGTCTAAGGTTTTCATCCCAGTTAATTTGCGTTAGTTCAGATAGAAAGTCTTCTTGCTTAAAAGTTCTATAATCCCTATAGTACAGTGTATCCTGAATTCTGTTGCACGAAGTTTTGATAACAGTAAATACTGGAAGATGATCTGAGATATCAAATATTGCAATTCCAGATTTAATCTGGTCAATAGCCATGTTAGTATATATGTGATAAATTAGCGTTTTAGTGTAATCAGTTATTCGCGTGGGCTTAGTGATAATTGGAAGAAAATTATTTGTATGTAACATATCTAGATATTTTTCAGTCATTTGATGCGTTATATATCGAAGGAAATCAATGTTAATATCACCCAACAATACAACCTGATATTTACATTGATTTAAATATTTCAGCAGCGCATCTAGCCTTTCGATAAATTCACAAATCTTTGATTTAGGATGCCTGTATACACAACCCACTATGATATTCTTATTGTCGTTAAAACCAGATTCAATTTCAATCCAGCAAGACTCTACATTGTCTAAAGGAAGTTTAATGTCAGGTCTAGCAATGGCTTTTATATCTCTGTTAACATATATTGCAGCACCTCCCGCATTGGTACTTGAATCGGTATGGAAGAAATTGTAGCCTGTAATATCTACATTGACTACATTATTTTTGTTTAATTTTGTTTCAGAAATAGCTAGTATATCGGGTTTTACTTAAATGGAATAAATAAAATCAGTTAATAACGTATGGTTTTTTGGGAGACTTCTGACATTGCAATGAAAAAATGAGATAGCCTTAGGTCCGGCAGCATTTAAAATATTATTAATTTTGTCAATAGAACAATAGTCCGATACTACATTAGTCAACATATGGTCTGGGTCACTTTCATCAAACTTGTCGGGATTCGGCAAGATGTTATATAAATCTAAATCCGCGTCCAACTCTCTCGACGAAGAGCTAAACAAAGATTTAAATTGACGGTCATCTAAGCACGCAAATGGAAAGCTTTGTTGGATATTATAATAACCTAATTCCTCCTGAGAGCCTTGCAATTGAAAGGTCATTATAATCTTAAAAAATGTTTACATCACTTAGATAACTGTTTTGATTCATACTTCAAAGTTCAAGAGCCTTATAAAAACTGTTCAAATTGGTCATTTGTTGTGAAGTCAAAAACCTTTGAGCTGTCCGTCTGTCTCAACAAAATCTTGCCATTCACCGTCCATAAATGTCTCCACTTATTTGCGCGCTTAAATTCATTCACCCGCCCTAACAATTTTTTCCTGATAAGTGTTAATGACTCATTTATATAGATATTTTCCGATTCATGAATATTTTTTACCATATTCAGATGCAATTAGCAGTACATCTTTGGACTTTTTCCCAATCAATTTACTTCGACTTTTGTAAAACGCCTCTTTCATATCCCTATGAACAAACTTTACAATGATACAATTCTTTACCTTCTTCGTTGGTGGAAGGCGATGCGCTGTTGAGATATGATCTTCGGTTACATTTAGTCCAATCATTTCGCCTACTTGGACTGCTAGTTGTTTGGGACTATCTAATAGCGGCGGTGGTATACCTGTAATTTTGATGCAGTCACAGCGTAAATACTGTTGAACATCATCCAAAGCCACGTTGCTGTTATACAGATCATTCTCGTTACGATTTACTCTACCTTCAAGGCCTTCAATGCTTCGCTTTATATCTGTGACTTCTTTCTTCGTCCCTTGCAGTGAGCGTTTGAGGTTATCATATTCGTTCGATAGGTACTTTTGTGAGCTTTCAATTTCATCGCACTTCGCTGCGACCAATGTTATTTTGGATTTTAGATCCTTGATCTCTGATCTAAGCTCTTTTTGTATGGATCACGCCGGGTCAGCTCTTCCCAAATATCGGCCATCTGATATAAACTTTTTCAATATATTTCGGATGGACATGAAACTTGCTACATCAATATAACTTTCCATTCCGAACAATCGTATGTTTTTTATTTTTGAGATTTAACGGTTTTTGGTGGGAAAATGACGTCACGAAACCTCCAGTTAAAATTTACTTTCAATATCTTAATAGTTTTGTCGCAGAATTTGGAAGAACATGTCATGAATAGTTCAAAACTGAAAACGGATTTTGAATATCTAAACCTAATCCAAAGTTATTTCACTACAAAAACCGTGAAAAATCTAAAAATAGTAACAAAATGGTGGAAAATTCGATTCTAAACTCCGTGTATCTCGTGATTAGATTAAGATATTTAAAATCTGTTTTCAGTTTTGAACTCTTCATGACATGATCTTCCACATTCTGCTTAAAAACTATTAAGATATTGAAAATAAATTTTAACTGGAGGTTTCGTGACGTCATTTTCCCGCCAAAAACCGTTAAATCTCAAAAATAAAAAACATACGATTGTTCGGAATGGAAAGTTATATTGATGTAGCAAGTTTCATGTCCATCCGAAATATATTGAAAAAGTTTATATCAGATGGCCGATTTTTGGGAAGAGCTGACCCGGCGTGGATGGTAGAAATTCTTTCCCCATAACTCTTTTATCGAATCAATAGTCAAAGATTCAGGGTTATTTCTTAATTTCGAAGGCATTTCAGGAGAGCTCTCAACACACATCTTGCTTCAGTGACACCATCAAATAGTATATTTCAGCATGTCCGTGCATTTGGCAGATAATTGAAAAATTCTGCCGATATTCAGTCAATCTACATGCTGAATACAAATTATACAAGTCAAAAATTGAAACAACAAAACATTTTTTGAAATAGTAATAACACCATATCTACACAAGAAAAGCCTAGGTGGTCTGTCTCTAATTTACAGTTGGGTTTTGTGATAAAATACAGTAAAATACACGCCCTGATCAGTTTGGATATGCCCTAGTCTCGTGTACAGATTTCACTATGTACAGCTTCTTCCAGACTTGTTTAAAAAATGCGACTATATATATTTAATACTTATTGACATTCAATTGATGTTATTTAACAGGAAGAGACAACCGGAGAGGTACTAAAGTCGTTAATTGCGATTTATCATGTTTACGGATAACCCAGATGATCCTGCAGATTTTTATCATAATCTTTATCAGCCGGAAAAAGATGTCCGTACAAATGAATATGTTCACCACCAAGAAGACCATAATCACCTGTTAAAAAGAGTTATCTTGTGTCTCTGGGAAGGGCATATTCCCAATTTCGACTTGCGATCTCTTCGAGATGCTCTCCACGACCCTAATACTGGTTTGACATATGAATCTCTCACTGGTAAGAATAAACAATCTGTTCCAAATTGTGAGCGTGTCATTTCTCTTGGGGTGATAGAGTTTTTAGAAAAGAATAAGTATGTCAATGAAGCAAAAATCTTGTCAATTATCCACAACTGGCACAAAGCTGTAGACGGTCGAGGGTTAAGGGAAGATCTACATTCCAAGTACTTGTGTGAAATGAAAGATTGGATCCTTGATGACTGGATGCCATGGGCCAAGACAGAAAGGAACTATTCTGTAATTGATGTTAATAGGTAAATATTGGCAACAGACTTTTCTTCGCAAGTAATATTTCAAATTGCGGTAACTTGTGGTGGCCTTCCCTAGTCTTTATAGATTGAAAATAATAACTGTAAAGAATTACATCATATGAACAGAGGGCTCATAGCCAACGAGAATAGATCTTGTAAATAGTTAATTTGACAGTGCACAATTCAGCTTGTTTGTTCATACTATTAAATTCTAATGTTCTAGGTGTATTGAATGGAGGACATTCTTGTACCAAGATCAACTCAAAACATTTGATTTATTTGAAGGTACTAAATAAGTTTTTTGTTCGACTTACATGAATATAGATCCATCAAGGGAATTTGTGGCTTCACTCGAGAGCTTATTGTTGGTCTCATTGCCAATTTGGAGAGTCGAGAAATACAAAGACAAGAATATCTTGAGAGAAGTTTACCTCCTGAGCACCCACGAGCGTCCTCTGGTGATGATGTCGAAGGATTTGTTGCACTCCTGCATGAGATGTTCGGCCTGATTTTTTACCTCAAACAGTTTTATCAAGAATCAACAAAGATATTGAATGAGTTTGGGAAAAGAATTGATCCTAACCTGGCATTCTATTACTGGACTGGTGTTAAAGAGCGCTACAGAGATTTTGCCTTGCCCTCATTCAACTGCCCTACTGGTCCTGGCGTAGGGGAAAGGCTGGATGAGTTAAATTGTCTAGGAGGGGCAATCCTGGTGTCTTTTTAGTCAATCGAGCTTCACTTCCACAACAAGGACAACTAACAGCAAGGGCTCATTTCCACAAAACTCCTGTAGCCTTCCCACCTTCCCAGGTCCTTTTACAATGACTACCACATGAATACTGCCTGCAAACCTCTGAACTATTTAACATTAACTATTTAACATCTGCCAATTGACAATGTTTTATTCAAACATTTATCAAGCATGACACAAGAACCGATGCTTTGTGGTCCTTAACTTGATAAACACTGGATCTGATTCCACTGCCTACAGCTATTGATTTACCTGTCATGATTACCAGAATGTCACAATTCGGGGCAGGTTGTACAAAGGCTGGATACGTGCTATTCATCAGATAGTGATGTTTCCTACATTTCTAAAAATGTCTGAAAAGCTTTGAAATGGACCTAGTAATTCATCAATACTTTATTTTATAAACTGAATACATCATGGCAATTTAAGACAGCTTGAAAAATCACTCTCTGGCAGATAGTGCAATCCAGTATCTGCCCTTCATACAGCCTGGGTACAACCGACCCTTGTCCAGCTAAAACTAGTCAATTGACATCATGCTTTATTTATAATACTGTGTATATTAAACAACTTTCGTATATGAACCTATTGGAAGTCAAAGGAATAATCAAGTCTTACAAGCATATTTTTAAAACATTATCTTACATTTTTACTGGCTTCAACTACGTTTTTGTGCCACATTCCATCTTTTGTAATTTCTAATGTCAAATAATATCCCATTCTATAATATGTTGTGCAAAAGCAAATGTTGCACACTGAAACATCCAATTTTTTTAAAATAGGTTTTAAATACTGTGTTAATTCTTTTGCAATATACCCTACTTTCTGAAATTCATCGCCACAATAATCAACACTAATATACACAGCAATTGCTTCATTGTCTGTTATGTTCTCTGGTTCGTCTTCTAGTTTAGCATAGACATGCCAATTGTAATCGTTCAGGTTCAAGTAGCCCTTTTCTAGGATGTCTTGTCTGCTAGAACAGTAACAAGTCCCCATAACTTTGAAGGGAAGAGTATGTGGGCCTTCAAAATCTGTATCAGTTTCTTCCTGAGAATGATCGGCATCTTGTTCCAAACTACAACATACCAAAGGAAGAACAACCCACAACACAGTGTATTCTTCACTGTCGATGTTAATTTTGCAGTGGCTTGTACATGTGTATTGTCCTGGCTTAACATTTGCATCTTTGCTCACCACTCCATTATAATCTTCACCATTGCACCTAAACTTGATTTTCCTCAGGCTTATTGATAAGACAGGAAATGAGGGAACCATCCATGAGAACCAAGCTTCCCCCATTGAAGTAATAGTGACCTGCATTTCAGGAGAGTTACAATCTAACAAAAATTTACGAGAAATACCATTAAAATTGTCTGGCATTGGACAAAATAAAATGATTGTCTGAAAATGGGATTGATATGCCCGGTGGACTTTATTGCCGGTAGCTGACGTCACCGACCACGCTACCGGAAGTGCAAGCTAAGCATGTTTTCTAAGTATTCGGGAAAATTGTGAAATATGTGCGGTGCAATTTTAGAGCTTGGCGAACATACAAAAACAGCGAATATTGTGATTAATTGTCGTCTGTCGAATTCTAGTTCGAGATTATAAAAGCTTTGCCGTGCGAATATTGTCGACAATGGAGGTCGCTGAAGGGAAATTAAAGACAAAACTCATTCAATTAAACATAACAACGAATAGAACAAAGTCTATTGTGGATAATGGTCAAGCCGAAGCGATAGAAAGACATCAAAAAACTCTGAGAACTGTGATAAATGAAGTAGATCAACTGCATATAGAAATCGAAGCGCTCAAAATAACAGAGCAAGTAAAGGACGAGGATTTGGATGCGTGGAATGCAAATCTAGTGACACAAATTGCAAAGGGAGATCAAAGTGTGGAAATCTTGAAAGAGTGGCTCAATAGTCGAAAGACGTTCTGCCAAACGTACGAGAGAGAAGAGCAGATTAAATTCGAAGTCAAATTACAAGAGACCAAAACTAAATTCAAGGCAGAACACATGGGAAATCAAAACAGTTCTCCCAAATCTCATAGCGAAGCGACAAATATTCAAGCAAAATTACCTAAATTAGTCATCACCAAATTTAACGAGACATTTACTGACTGGAATAGATTTTGGGGACAATTTACAGAGTCAATCGACAAATCCAGTTTGCCAGCAATTATCAAATTTTCATACTTGAGAGAACTGTTAGATGACAAGGTCAGGAAAGCTGTAGAAGCCCTACCATATTCAGCAGAGGGCTATAACAGAGCAGTAACAATCTTTAAAGAGCGGTACGGAAAAGAACGCAAGATTGTTAAGGCGTACATGAAGGAAATATTCAAGCTTCCTCCAGTTCTGACAGCCAATGCGAGGAAGATTCATGAGTTCTGTGAGAAACTAACATACAGTGTGCAATCACTCCAGACTATGAATAAACTTTCTCAAGTAGACGGTGCAGTAGTGATGACTCTAGACAAATTGCCAGCTATCAGAGGTGATCTCATTCGTACTGACCCTGACTGGGAGAAATTGGACTTCATACAGCTTACAAAGGCTCTTCGACTTTGGACGAGAAGGAACCCGATCACTGAAAATGCCAATTCCAAAGACAAGGATTGAAGACGAGACAGAACGGGTCGGAATTACCACACTCGTCAAGGGACGGGGACTTCGCATACATGTGTATATTGCAATGCTGCAGATCATAAATCAACAACCTGCCCAACCGTTAAAACATCAGAAGAATGCAGGAGAATCCTAGCAAATAAAAAACTATGTTTCAACTGTACTGGACCCTCCCACCGAGCAGCAGAATGTAAAAGTATTGTGACATGTCACAACTGTGCTAGAAGACACCACACCTCAATCTGTGAAAATCCAAAGAAACCTGAGGGGTTCATGTCAGCCCATAGGGCAGGGGACAACCAAGTTATTTATCCTGTTGTGGTCATCGAAGTCGATGGAATAAAGACACGAGCGCTACTCGACACTGGCTCGGGGAGCTGCTATGCTTCAGCCAAACTTATAGACGCTCTGAACAAGAAACCGAAGGAGATCCAAACAAAACGGATTGAAATGATGCTCGGCTCAACAACAACCAGAGTTGAAATCTACCCTGCAACTATCAAGGGAGCTGATGGTCAGTTTACAATGGAAGTCGAACTATCGAAAGTCCATAAGCCACATCTGATGGAAATTGATAATCCTCGGTATGAAGAGCTGCTGAGCAAGTATAACCATTTAAAGGGAGTGAAGATAGATGATCTTGATGACAAACCACACCTTCCTATACATGTAGTTCTCGGAGTGAACGAGTATGCCAATATCAAGACAACAGCAGCGCCATGAGTTCGGAAACCCGGACAACCCATTGTTGAACGTGCTCGCCTCGGTTGGGTGTTAATGTCGCCCGGTAGAAAGGATGTGACAAGGCCACTTCTGCTAACTCGATCAGTCAGCACAGACTATGAGCAGCTGAGTTCCTTGGATGTGCTTGGACTTGCTGACAAACCGGAGAACAATCAGGGAACTGTATACCAGGATTCAAAGAGCAACTTCAACGGAACAAGGCTGGTTGGTATGAGACAAAGTTGCCTTGGAAGGCCAACCGCCCAGAATTGCCAACAAACGAAGCGGGCAGCCGAAGATGGGAATTATTAAGACTATGACAGCATAATTCAGGAGCAGCTTCAGAGCGGTGTGATTGAAAGAGCACCTACAGAACCCAAGGGCAAGGAATACTACATACCACATAAAGGAGTTTCTAAGAAAGATGCGGAAAGTACGAAGTTGCAGGTGGTCTACGACGCGTCTGCGTGGGAAAATGTGAAGCATCCCTCCCTGAACGACTGCTTGAACCCAGGACCATCTCCCCAAAACATACCTTGGAACATTCTAATAAGATCACGATTCCACCCGATCCTGTTGACAGGTGACCTGCAGAAAGCATTTCTGCAAATTAGAATAAAGGAAGAAGAGAGAGATTCCTTACAGTTCCACTGGAGAGCACCTGGCAGTACCGAAACTCGAATATACCGTTTTACGAGAGCCTTGTTTGGGCTAACCTCATCCCCTTTCCTTCTCGCAGGAGTCCTCAACCAACACTTCGAACTGTGGGAACGCCAGTATCGTGAGATTGTTAAAGAGATTCACGATGGCCTGTATGTGGACGACCTCATGGCTGGTGGTACAACAGTTGACGATGTGCAAACAAAGTTTGAAGTTGAAGTTTTCCAGGATGCATCCTTCAAGCTTCACAAATGGCACTCGAATGCAAGAGGACTCGAAGCCAGCAGTAATCCACCAGCAAATGATGAGTTAACCTATGCCAAGCAGCAATTAGGAGTGAGCCGACTGGGGACAAAGCTTTTGGGACTAGCGTGGGACAAGGATAAAGACACCTTCAAAGTTGGTTTGCACAAAGATGAAACTATCTCTACAAAATGGAACGCTCTGTCTCAACTAGCAAAGATCTATGACCCACTGGGACTGGCCTCGCCAACAACTTTGCAAGGAAAAATTCTCTATCATGAGATGTGTGAGATCAACATAGCGTGGGACAGTGAACTTCCAGCTGAACTGAAAAAACAATGGATCGAATGGTACTCCAAACTGCCAAGTTACATCGAGGTTAAGGCACTCTGGCACCATATCAACAACCAATCTTAGAAATTGTGTTGAACGAATTCGGAGATGCAAGCACTCGGGGAGTTAGCGCGGCAGTATACGCGGTCGTCCGGCAGGAAAATGGGACAACTCAAGGACTCGTCTGCTCGAAATCTCGGTTGGCAAAGCGGAATTTAACCATTCCCCAGCTCGAGTTAGTGGCTGGCCATATGGCAATCAATCTTGCGACCAATGTTCAACTGGCCATCGATCTATACCCAGTGTCAGCACATTGTTGGCTTGATTCGACTGTGGCACTATACTGGATACGTGGGCAGGGGGAGTACCGGCAGTTCGTTGCAAACAGGGTACACAAGATACAGCAGCATCAGGATGTCAAGTGGCATCACATGCCGACCACCCCACAGATTTGGGCAGCCGCGGCGGAAGCGTTGATCATCATCAGCTATGGAACCAAGGTCCGAGTTGGCTGAGCGAAGAAACTGAATGGCCAGCAGACATAATCTTTGAGCCCAACGCAGATTCCAACACGGAGTTAAAGGTGACTCGAAGCGTCTTTGCTGCAACAGCACAAGTCCATGATGATTTTGACCAACTTCTTGATGCTCACGAAGTGCACAAAGTCCTGCGAATTTGTGCATGGATTCAGAGGTTTATCAGCAACTGTAGGTCCCGAGCTAGAGACTGGCAAGATGGTCCACTGAACGCAATCGAGATTGAACAACAGAGACTTTGGTGGACCAAGCAAGCACAACTAGAATGCCAAGAAAGACTCTGCTTCAAACAAGACCAGCTCCAACTGAATCTGCAGCTAAACAGCGAAGATATATTTGAATGCAGAGGGCGAAGTGAAGGAGAGTTCCCGATCTACCTGCCAGATAGTCATCCCTTTACGCACGGAATTGTACGACAAGCGCATCTATCGACATTACACAGTGGTGTCTCGCTGACAATGGCATGTGACGTCTATTGGATTCCCAGATTGCATCACTTGGTCAAGAAAGTGAGAAGTGCCTGCTGGGGTTGCAAGGGATTTAGAGCCCAAGCATACCAATCCCCACCCCAGGAAACCTTCCAAGCACAAGGACACAAGGGTCTATGCCATTCCAAGTAATCGGGGTGGACTTTGCAGGCCCAATTTACTACCAATCGAAACCCGGAACTGAAAGCAAAGCATATCTGGCCTTGTACGGATGCAGCCTGACAAGAGCGTTGTATCTAGATTTACTGAAGTCATTGGAAGCAACCGAATTCATCATAAGCCTTAAACGGTTTATCGCACGCCGAGGCAGACCAAAACGTATATACTCGGACAATGGTTCGACATTCAAGGCCACCAAGAAATGGCTCCGACAAGTGCAGAAAGATGAACAACTTAATGATTACCTGGCTGATCTCTCCATCAAGTGGCAATTTAACTTGAGTCGTGCTCCTTGGTGGGCAGGCCAACTTGAGCGTTTAATTGGCCTTTTCAAGAATGCCTTCTACAAGACCGTAGGGAATCGCACATTAAGATGGATGGAGTTCAAGGAAGTTGTGATCGACGTAGAGGTCTCTCTTAATAATAGGCCTCTGAGTTACGTAGAGGACGACGTCCAACTACCACTACTAACCCCTAACTCGATGTTAACCACTAACCCTAATCACCTACCTGAGCTGAAGGCTTACCACGTTGACGAAGCAGATTTACGGAAGCGAGCCAAACATGTTAAGAAATGTAAAGAGGCCGTAT